CGGTCACTTATGGACGTTTTACCGCCCACATCAGTTTTCTGTTTTTAATTGTAACACCATATAAGGAAAAGCCTTGACACTTAGAAAAAGGATCTGGATCAGAGGGATCTGAACTTTATCTCTCTCTAAATTCTTTTAGTTTAGTTTTTGTATTAGGATTTCTTTGTAATAGTTTGGAGATTGAAGACTTTCAACATGGAAATGAAGTTTGCTTCTTCTTCTCTTATCTATTCTTTAGTCATGTCTGAGTAGAGTCTTTGTAGTCTGAATGCAATGGAACTCCATGATAATATTATGTTGATTTGATTAATATGATGAAGTATTTTTCATGTGTTGATTTGAGATTTTCTGAGTTAATTATTTCTATCAAGGAAGTAGTATAGAACAGGGATGTCTATATGACTTCTGTATTTGATAATCTCAACATCAGAATTCTAGTACTCAAGGGATTGATGCTAGAACTCTGATGTAATCTTAAAACTTTAGTATTTCATGCATGTATTAAGAAAGAGATCACCAAGGGATTGGGGTTTCTGATTAATGTATCTATCAGGGTAGTAAGGGATTACATCTTGATAGTAAAAGGTTGATTAACATCACATGGAAAGGAATTCATCATATGATCGATTTTTACATGGGTTATTATGGAGGAAAGTTGTTTTCTGACTACTTGTTGTTTTATTAATTCCTAATCCATATTTACTTTGTGTCAAATTACTTACAATCAATTTTCTGGTGACAAATTATTCATGATTTTTACAAACTCTTATTTGATTCAAATTAGTTTTCTATGGTATATTGGTGTTTGAACACAATTCCTCGTGGGAACGATCTTTACTCGTCATTTTATTACTTGTACGACTAGTGCACTTGCTAAACGTCCAACAGTTACTCTCAAAGGAATCATACAAATATAGTCAAAAGATATTACACTCTATGCTAAATAAATTATCTAAGACAAAAAAGCTAATAGCTTTGACAGATTTTCCATGAGTGACTAAATCCAGGTTTCTATTCTAACCTGTGAAAATTACTTTCTCAAGTAACACAAGACACATCAAAAAGTTACATGCACTCCAAAATGCAAAACATATACCAGTAGTGTAACTCTTGTTACAAAAATATACATGCTTCAGCTTTTGGAATAAATGACAACACACTTTAGCCAAATAATTCAAACACTGATTATTAAAATGCAGTATCACTCGTTGTATTCAAAAATCAAGCTTCCCTTATTATAGACGCTGGGTTACATTGCTCAGTTACATTGGGCCATTAAAATAATAATGCTAATATATAATTGTCAACCTAATGATATCTAACAGTTACATAATTTAATAATATATACATCAAATAAAACAAACGATGAATTTCAAACGGTTATGAATTTCAAATCGAATGGTAGCGGAACAATCCCCTCCCATTAGAGTACGAAGGGACGAAATGCTCAACTTGCTGAGAAGAAAATAAAAATCCTTACACCTTAATGCCTTGATGAATATGTTCACCAGCTGCATAGTTGATCAAATGTATGCGATATAAACGCAAGAAAGGACTTCAGCAATAAGAGCTCAGAAGTAATGGCTGTCATGGAGCGATATTCAGCATCAACATAAAAGCGAGAAAATGTTGCTTACTTTTTTAGTCTTCTAGGAGACAAGAGATTAACCAAGCATGACAAAATATCCTATAAGGGATACGTAAACTGTAGTCACAATAGGCACACAACTGTATAATTAGACTTTATATAACGCAAAATGTGCATGACTGCATTAGTTGTTTAGGAGCCTACATAAATTAAGATAAAGTATGAACTGCATAGCACAACTCAGGTTGCATAATTGAGAGATATACCAAGCGACGATAACACGCCAGATTTTCCAAATCACTCCATTAGCTACATCCAATTGATGATGTTGCTCAATAGGAAAATTCGTAGGCTTGCATCCCATCATACCTAGATGTGGCTATTCAGGTCAATATGAATTCGAAACGAACATGAATACTGTAACACCCTATTATCGGACCAGTTTGTTATTATCAGAACGGTATTAAGCGTAGCACATTTATTTAATAAATGCAAAAGCTTATCTTATTGATTCACAATTGGACTTATATCAAAATATGAATAAACTTTTGCATTTTATAATCTATAGCAATTTACCAGTTCTTTTGTATCCAATTCAACAATGTAATGATTTCTCACACCTCACGTCCTTTTTAAATATAAAACTGACGATATTTTGTTTGTAATTCGGACATCTAGGGATAATTCCCATTGTCGTATTATCACCTAATTGACAGTATATCCAATTTCTACAATCTAGAATCCTTCCATGGATTTTATCTTAATGGCTCCATGCCAATGATTTCATCAAATAATCAATTAATCATAATTTAACTTCCAACAATAACATGGAAGGATAAATACAAAATAACCTCGTAGATTTATCCTTGACGTACATTATGAATAAATTAAGGCTTACATATAGTCCTTATACATGTGTCTCCAAATGAAAAATACAAATCTTATACAAATATATATATATATATAAACACTTTCTATGCTCTCCAAATTATACGATCATGTCATATACATCAAAGGGTGATCAAAATACAATATCCCTTATGTGTCTATCCAAAATGACTAACCAACACACAACATACATCATTCCCTACACAGGCCTCTTGCCCAGGGAAGGTCCAACTCCAACATCCCAAGTACCTATACCTGAAAGGAGGTCCCCAAAACGCGGTGTAAGATAAACATCTCAGTAAACTAGGGGCTCTTGGTGGATTCCTCCACCCCTCGAAAGTTTGGAGAATAGAGTTCATTTTCGTCTTTGATTGATGCCTTGGTTTGAAGTGCTTGCTCGAGTGTCTCCTCCTTCTTCTTCTTTTTACGTTGTTCGTGTGCCTCGAGAGAACCAGCGAGCTCGTCGACCGTGAGCATTGCTAGGTCCTTTGACTTTTCTATAGCACGTACGACATTCTCGAAACTATCGGTTAATGTAAGAACCCGCACCATTAAATTAGGAATTTAAATAAATTAATTATGAGTTTGAGAAAATAATTCCATAATAGACTTAAATAATTAATATAAGGGTTTAATAACGCTGAAAGCCGCTTTTCTGATGAAAAGTGCAGATAGCGGTTCTGCTTCCCGATATAAGTGTGTACCGCTGAAGTATCCCAAAAAATTATAATAAGTACATGAATATTCCTAGAATAATACCTAGGTTTAGTATACCAAGTTTGGAGTCAAAATAATGAGAACTGACGTCAGGACTGATACCGGCTACGTAAAAATGCGTACCGGCAAAGTACTGCGAAAATTATAATAAAAATATGATAAATCTTAGAATAATGGCTAGATTCAGAATATGAAGTTTGAGATTAAAACGATTAGAGGAGCTATTAGTGCTAACACAATGGGATTAAACTTAATAAGCATATAAATAGGCTTGGCACAAAGACCTAGGTCAGTTCCTTCATATCTCTACGTGAATTTTTTGAGGCTCTTGGGGTGTAGCCACCTTGTCTCCACCTTCCCTCTCCATAGAACCTTCAAGAGGCCACCTTCCCTATTGATTTCTTCACAAAAACTCCATATGTGAGTATGCTCAAGCCTTGAGAGGTTGAAAGGCAATGCATTTCTGAGTTTGAGTTTCAGTTTGAGTGAGTGTTGGGGGCTGACTTCTTGGTGTGTGTTGTGGGAACCATTTTCTTGGCATTTGAGGCTTCAAGAAGCCATCTTTTGGTAGAAAATATCAATCTTGAGGTTGCATTTCGTGGCTTTTCAGTGGCAGATCATTGGAGCTGAGTTGAGAGCTCCAAGATCACCTTTTTCCTCTGTTTTGAGCTTTTGGGGTACATTCCTTAACTTTGTTCATGAGTTTCTATGTTAAAGATCAAGTCTTGGCATGTAAAACAATATGATTAAGTAACCAACTGGAACACTGACCTAAATGTGTCTAAAAATACATGCTTGGACATTGAGGAGTGTTAAAAATGGAACCTTGAAGAGGTATCTTCGCGAAATTCAGAAACTGCATTATGTCACAAAATATACGGATATGATTACCGGATATGGATATCCGGATATGCCCCAGAGAAATATCTGGATATTCTGGGAATTTCGAGTTATGCACTGTTCTGTCCAAACAGAAGTGTAGATTGGGCTTCTGGACCCATGATTGGTTAATGTGAACTTCTGTAATAAGTTAACTAAGCCACAATCATTTAGATTAAAGGCATATGGCTTTGGGAGAAGTCTAAGAGCACAAAATGAAAAAGGAAACGTTGTCGTAATGTAATGAAATTCTAGATGATTAATATTGATGATGTTTCTGGTATAAACAGACTGTGAGTGTACTGTTTGTTGACGTGGGCTGGTGTGGACTCTTTGTTTGGATTGATAGCTTGCGAGGTAAGCTTTCGTGTCCTCGGTTTAGCCCATTGTTGGTTCCACCATACCTCATGGAGGGATGGTTTATATGCATGATATGTTTTTATGAAATTATGTGATGATTATTGGAATGCTATTGAGTTGTTTTATTGAGTGCAAGTGCCATATGATATGCATGTGGTGTACCACCTAGACGGTAATCCTGAGTATGTGGAGACATACAAGACGGCAACTCCGTGGGTGAGGTAGAAGCAGTGTTCCTTGTACTGTAGGTTGTAGACGTATGTAACCCCTACTTTTATTCTCTGGCCAGTAGAATGCATACACACATGACATGGATATATGCTGCATTGCACGGATTTTAGAAATTATATTGTTATACTGTTTTGGAACTTATGTTGCACATGTAAGTGAGCTTGGGGTGGAGAGATCCTTGAAACTCCTTGTCTTACTGAGATTTCTTTTTAGAGATCTCATCCCGTGTTGGGGCACATTTTCAGGTACAGGTACCTCGGGGGATTGATACCTCTAGCGGCAGGAGGCCAGAGTTGAGTTGTACATTTGTTTCTACACACGAATCCTAATACTGTTATCAATCGTAAAAGGCATCAAGAACAGAAAAATTAAAGCGATTTTTGTATGGATCCCAATGAAGGCCAATCTCATCCCCTTTCTTTAAGCCTCTCCTTGATACAAAATCTTTAACCCAATTTCCAATGAAAACATAGCTTCTTGAAGAAACCCATTTCTTGAAAATTAAAGAATGAATGGAGGCAGTGTCTACATCCCAAATCTCAACTTGAACACCTCTTTCAACGTCTCCATCCAACACCGGCACCACCAAATTCTCAGCAAAATCTTTAGGGAGCAAGAGCCTGCTCATGTTGCCAAGATCACTGCCATTAAGGACTTTCTTGATCTTCCAAGGGTCATCATAAAGCATCAAATCCAAAGAGTAACCCCAACTTCTCTCTACACACACCTTCTTTCTTGCAGCAACATGAGTTTCTTCATAAATCTTCCTCTTCTTGGTTAAAGAAACAGAGACATCATCAGTATCGTATGTCGTTGCTGACATTTCTTTCATGTTTTTGTGAATTGGGTTTTGGTTTCTTGAAAGCTATGAGGTTTTTCTGTTTTTCTGTTACGGGTCAATATATATAGAAGTTGCCTTTTTATGCCAGCCCACTTCACTTTAAATGTTTATTCTGCTTTATAATTTTAACATTTTTTTATTTTATTTTAATTTTTATCTATACAGATATAATTTATATCTTAGATAATTCTTATTCAAAATATAGGAAAAATAAAAAATTAAATTGTAGGACTTGAGAATTTGTAGATTTGTGAAGATATCAAAGCGTAAAAAAAATATTGACTGATTATAAAAATATTAATTTACGTTGATATTTAATTATTAAACTAACAAAAATTGTAGGCAACTTTCACTTTTTTTCCCTAAACAGTTATTATGCCACCTCACGTAAACATTTATTCTGATTATATATTAATAAATTTAAATTGTTAACATTAGCTAATAATAATAATATTGGAAATTGAAGAATACTTATAATTCACAAGTAAAACTGAATTTTTTTTTTTGAAAATTTAAAGAATAAAAGGAATTTTTAAAAAAATTAAAGAGATGTGTTGAAATTAAGTCATGGTGTCCTAAGATTAAACACCTATTATTTTTAGTTGCATTGTTTGGAAAAAAAAATTTAATTATTGCATTTTAATTAAATAATTACGCATTTATTGCAGTTTTGGAAATAATTATGGATCTATTCCACAATGTGACACCTTTTTTGGGTGTCACATGTGATGCCTCATTTAGGCGTCTCTCACCTAAGGTTGACACGTGTCATTTTTTTTCTAAAAAAAATAATAATTTAATCATAAAACTTCTAAATGCCATAACTTTTGACTCGAGTATCCAATTCAGGTAATTCTTTTTTTGATTCAACATAACTTTTCGACATCTACGCAATGACATCTCATTTGATATATTTTATTTCTCATAAACATAATTTAAATTTAAATTAGGTAATCCTTCTTCCTTAGAGATTTAGAATATTTATTTAATTATTTCCTTTATTAATACAGATTTTTCAAATTGATTTTTGAGTTTAAATCATAAATCAAATCTTTATTTTGTTTTCCTTATTAATAATAATCGTTACTTTTAATTTAAATCACAAACCAAATTTTTTTATAATAAAAATAAAAAAATTTATTTTTTAAATTAAATCACATATCAAATCTTTATTTATTTTTTATAATAAATCACAAACGCAGAACTCAGAGGCTTATAAGTTTAAAAATGTGACACATGTCAACACCTGACACGTCACCAATAACGTCTAAATTGGATTTCAATCAAGAGGCAATCACGCCTAATTTAAGTAATTTTATTTTTGAAAAATATTCATAAGCCATCATTAATTTCAGACCACGAATAATAACCCAGAAGCTTATAGCATTAATCATTAATTTCAAAAATAATATCCTTTTTCCTTAGATATTTAGAATATTTATTTAATTATTTTCTTTATTTCTACATATTTTTCAAATTGATTTTTTGGTTTAAATCACAAATCAAATCTTTATTTTATTTTCCTTATTAATAATAATTTTTGTTTTTAATTTTAATTTAAATCACAAACCAAATTTTTGTTATAATAAAAAAAGTATTATAAAAAAATTAAATCACAAATCAAAATTTTATTTATTTTTTATATTAAATCACAAACCCAGAACTCAGAGGCTTCTTGGTTTAATCGCTCTTATAATACCATTCTTGCAAATTAAAATTGTGTTTATGAGAAATAAAATATATCAAATGAGATGTCATTGCGTAGATCTCGAAAAGTTATGTGGAATCAAAGAAAGAATTACCTAAATTGGATACCCGAGTCAAAAGTTATGGCCTTCAGAAATTTTATGATTAAATTATTATTATTTTGGAAAAAAAATGACACGTGTCAACCTTAGGTGAGAGACGCCCATTGGGGCGTCTCCCCTCAGATGAGAGACGCCGAAATGAGGCGTCACATGTGACACCCAAAAAAGGCATCACATTGTGCAATAGATCCGTAATTATTTGCAAAATTACAATAAATGCGTAATTATTTAATTAAAATGCAATAATTAAATTTGTTTGCCTGTATTGTTTTGACAACAAAAATTCTCCTATAATCGTTCGTAAACATAATCAATAACACACGTACACAAAACAAATAAAAAAATTGAACTAACAAAAATAGTATGCTAATAATAATAATATTGGAAATGGAAGAATACGTATAACTTTATTTACGTTGATATTCTCCTAAAAATATTTATTTACTTTGATATTTAAACATCGTTGATATTGAACATCGTTGATACTAAAAAAATAATTGAACATCGTTCATAAACATATTCTCCTAAAAATATTAATTTACGTTGATATTTAATTATTAAACTAACAAAAATTGTAGGCAACTTTCACTTTTTTTTCCCTAAACAGTTATTATGCCACCTCACTTAAACATTTATTCTGTTTATATATTAATAAATTTAAATTGTTAACATTAGCTAATAATAATAATATTGGAAATGGAAGAATACTTATAATTCACTAGTAAAATTGAATTCTTTTTTTGAAAATTTAAAGAATAAAAGGAATTTTTAAAAAAATTAAAGAGTACACAAAAAAAATAAAAAAATTGTGTATGCTGGCATAAAAAATCCCAAGTTTAAGATAATTCACGTGATAAATCGGATCAACAATTACTAAAATCATTCAAATAATAATGTTATGCTTTTCAAATACTTTTAGAAATATAAACAGTTAACAAAAACCATTATATTCTTTTCTACTGTTTCTCAATGCTAGATGTTTTATAAAAACATAAGCTCAGCTTATTTTTACGGGAAAACTTTACTTTCACCCACTATGGTTACAACAATTATCACTTAACCCCCTGTGATTTCAACTTAATCACTCAGACCCACTGTGGTTACAGAATACATCATTTAGTCCCTCAAATGTCTAAAATATTCTTATTATTTTAAATACTGATAATACCTTTACTCAAAAAATTATAAATTATATTTGAAATGTCAAAAATATCCCTAATTAAAAAGAGAAGAATGTTTGACAGAGCTTCATGATTTGTCCGACGATGCTGATTCGCACTTGGGTTATTTGGAGTTTTGTTGTTGTTGATATTAGTGAACCTGTTAGTATGAATGTTAAAAATGGTTATTTGGAGCTTCAAATTAATCCCTCAAAACTTTACTTTGCCTTATATCAAAGAGCGCGAAGGAAGCTACCTGATTGCAGTCACCGTCAGGGGGTGCTATGTTGAACAAGTAATTGTTCCATGTAATTGGCGTCGAAAAGTGTGTGGTTTGGTGCAAAGGTGTATGTTGTATGTACTGCCAGCGATAAAAGTCTTCTTTGTTTTTTTTTTTTTTGTTTTTTTGTTTTTTTAGATAATGTCTTCTTTGTTTTCCCTGTTACCTTATACGAATATGGTAAATTGATAAAATTAATTTTATAAAGATAGTGCTTAACAACATGGTAAATTGATAATTACTATTGAACGAGATGATTTGATATCGTTAAAAACATTATACGAATTGTACGCACAGGAGCATACCATGAATCAGGATTTGCGAATGGTCTATTGCTGCTCTCCTTAAATCTGAGCACTTTGGTGCAGTATACGTTCTTATTGTGTTTTGCAAATGGTCTATTGCTATAGTACTACTACAAGCATTACTTTACAGTCTCATGCTTTGTTTGAAAAAGGTTTCAGATTCCGTATCAAGATTAATGTTTAGAGATGGTTATAGATTATATAAGCACATCATGGCCAATATCTGAACCAAAATAAAAATATAATTAAGAAGCACCTTAATCTTAGAACAATTAAAACACCTTAACCAGTTCTATACAATCTTTGCCCTACATCACTAGTGAACCCAAGCAGCAAATACATTATTCACCAACATCCATAAATTCCTCTATATCCATTTCACTTAATGCCTCTGTTCTTGCCTCATCTATAAATTCATGGTGCTCTGGATGGACTTCATATTCTTTGTTATCATTCATATTGTCCAACATTAATGAGATTATGCTCTCTACATCCAAAGAAAATACGAAAAATAAATATTGTCACGAAGCAATAATGTATAAGGTTTTGTTGTTGAATACATTTGGGCATTTCAGCCCTTGATTTTCTTATCTTTTTGACATACATGATGAAATCAGAAAAAATAAAACAAAGAAATTATAGTATACTAAAAGACTGTATCAGCAGGAGTTTGTTGTCTTTAAGCCCTAAAGACAGCCGAAATTAAACAAAAAAAATAAAAAAAATAAAAATTACCAAACACGAAGGATAGTGTACTTAACGCTATTAAACGAGAGGTTAGGGTAATTATTCCCAAATTAGAAGAAGAAAAAACATGAGATTTCTTGTTTAACATGACAATAAAACAAAGATGCTGCAAATCACATACCTTGTGAAGGTAAAATTCAACTTCACCAACTCTTATGTTAATACCAGTAGCCCCAATTCAAAAAGTACGTAGCTACATAAATACGAAATAAATTGCTTAATACATAAAGAATGACAACTAAAGAATGACACACTTCATTACCTTTGCATAATGAAAAAGCCAAGAAAGACATCAAAAATGGCGATTTCAATCCCTAATATCTCAGAAAATCATTAGGCAGATCACGTAGGAATAATGGGCTTTACCATCGGTCCATCTTTTTTACCTGTGAGACATTTGAGGAGCTAAATGATGTATTCTGTAACCACGGTGGGTCTGAGTGATTAATTTGAAATCACAGGGGGCTAAATGATAATTATTGTAACCACAATGGGTGAAAGTGAAGTTTTCCCTATTTTTATTTATGTTATCTTATCTCTTAAACAAATAAATATTTAAATAATAGAAAAAATAATAATAGAATTTGAAAGAAAAGCTGGAATTTGGTAATAATCCATGTTATTTAGGGTGTGCATGACAACCTTCCCGGAATCAATTCTTTTTTAATTTCTATTCCCGGGAACAAAAATG